TACTCTTTCCACATTTAAAATTACCTGATTTGTCAAGTGCTTTCGATAATTTTTCTTCTGTTTAAATTTAGGTTGTTTATATTTCAATATATTATATCCCTGGTGAAAGGGATACAATAAATTTTTAACCAAAAATATGGTAATGAAAATTGGACACTCTTGAGAGACATGCAAACCCTCCCTTGGTATGGATAGGATATTCTCTGTGAATCTGTAATTAGTATTTGTTTCTAAGCTTTGTTGACTTACCTTACTGAGGCAAATTAAAATAGGTTGGTTTTTATTTAACTTGCTCCTTCACGTCTTCTCACAAAGTCAAGAAATACCAGTTTGAGCAATTGCCGTTGCTGGCGTTGAGTTCCCACAGATGTAGAAAGGCACCAGGGTTTGTGTTGCAACGTGGAGCATTGAGACATGCAGGGCAGGTGCTCTGCTGGTGGCACCAACCTCCAGGTTTGGGTCCCCTGTGCCAGTTCCTGGTGTGCGTGTGGGAACCCCATGCTGTGTGCCTGGGGCTGCTTCAGGGGCAGAATAGGGAATATAGGAAAGATTGAGGGAGAATTGTTCTGGGCTCTGTTTGGTGGACATCTGGATTTCTGTTTGGGAGGTGCATCTGTGAAGTCTGTCTGGAAACTCAGTGCCAGCCCCATCTCATCTCACAGAACACAGTGGTGGTGTGAGTTTCCCCTTTGTCCCATACCTGGAGCATCTGCAGTTCTTTCTGTATCAGAGTGAGAGTTGAATCCTTAGTGTAAGCACTGCACATTTCCTTACCCATTTCTGGCTTTAGTTTACAAAAACACTGATACAGCCAGTAAATAGGGATGGGAAGACCTGGTTGATGGTTGTACTCCAGTTAACATTTGCATTTTTATATTAAAATCCACTTAGACAGTAACATTTCTATGGTCTTTCTCAGCCTTCTATGAAAGAGTGATGGTAGTCCTAGAGTTCCCTCTGGGAAGGGTGAGCTGGGCAAACAATTGTAATTGTTTTGTGGTAGTTCCATGCTTTAATACATTTCTTGTATTTATTTGACTATTAAAAACTACCTTCTGCAGAGCCAAGGAGGCTGAAAAATACAGACAGGATGGATGTGATGAAATAATGCTGAGAAGCTCTGCAGCTTGGTATAGCTCATAATCGGAAGGTTCCCTCTGGGAAGGGTGAGCTGGGCAAACAATTGTAATTGTTTTGTGGTAGTTCCATGCTTTAATACATTTCTTGTATTTATTTGACTATTAAAAACTACCTTCTGCAGAGCCAAGGAGGCTGAAAAATACAGACAGGATGGATGTGATGAAATAATGCTGAGAAGCTCTGCAGCTTGGTATAGCTCATAATCGGAAGAATGAAATACCAAATGTCCCTGGTTCTTTTGCATAAGATCTTTCACCTGTAAAAATCACATCATGCATGATGTGCTCGCATAGCATCTAAGGGGGTAATTTTCCTCTACCCAGAACTATTCATGCAGAGAGCAGTTGGCTGTCAGTGGTGCTTCCTCACTCGAGCAGAGGCACTGCCTGTAGGTAGTGGAAAAGCCTCAAAGCTTCACGTTGAAGCAAGAGCTTGCTGTCTGCCCACTGCCCTGGGCGACCGGGTTGGTGCAGACGTAAAATGCCATCTCTGTTGACCAGATTTCAGGCTCACTTCTCTTACATGGGGCACTGTGTATGTAAAACTAGAACTGGTGGACTTGGAAGTTGTGTTGGATTGCATGTTGTTTGGGTTTTGGTTGTTTTTGTTGATGTGTTGGTTGGGTTTTTTTGTTAATCCACCTTTAAAGATTCTGGTGCTCTTGCCTGAAGGCTAGGCAGGGCTGGCTGCAGAGGCGGACTTAGTTAAAAGCACTTGTGCATGTTTGAGGCAGCACTTGGTGTTTTGCTGCTGAAACAGTGTGCTCAGGCCAGGGACTTGTTTGAAGCTCTCCCATTTGCTTTTTAAGGCAAATCCACACCTTCACGGACAGGTATTGTGCTAGTGTTACTGGAATTGTAAGGGAAAAGTAAGTGAAGTGTGCTTGGGCTTCTTTTGGTTTTGGTTTGGGGTTTTTTAAATTTCATTTTATTTGAGGCTGAAACTTTATTAACTTCATACCTATCTTAAAATTCATAATATTCTGGAAAGGGATTGGGGTGTTAAGTGGCTGAAGTTTAGTTCGTTCTTAATAGGAATTTGTTAGACTTGTGTGTATGCAGTAGATGATCCTTAACAGCAACTCTTATACTGTTGATTACAGGAACATAGAGAAGTTGCCAGACAGTTGTTTTTATTTTGCATTTCCCTGACTATTAGATGGGAATCTAGCCCATAAGATGGACATTGCCATTATGAGTAAGTATATAAAGTATTCATTGTTTAGATCCTTCAGGAGCTCTGTGGCTTATCTTTGATGTGATTATGCAACCCTGACTTAATCCTTGTCCACTAAAGTGTGTAAGAGCTAAAGAAAACCTTCTGAGGAGTCAGGCAGGTGCTATTCCTTGATTCCATGTTGCTTCTCTTTCCTCCTCATGTATGACTTCTTGTTCTCTCCCTGTTGCAATATGCTGTCTAGAAACTTACAGCTGTCCTCTTCCCTTCTCCTCCTTTGCCTGACAGCGGAGGGTTATGCTGCATTTCAAGAGGACAGTTCTGGTGATGAAGCTGAAAGTCCTTCGAAGTTGAAGCGGTCTAAGGGAATCCATGTCTTCAAGAAACCCAGCTTTTCCAAAAAAAAGGAAAAGGATTTTAAAATAAAAGAGAAGCCCAAAGATGAAAAACACAAGGAAGACAAACACAAGGAAGACAAACATAAAGAGAAGAAGTCTAAAGACTTAACTGCAGCAGATGTTGTAAAACAGTGGAAGGAGAAGAAGAAAAAGAAAAAGCCAATTCAGGAGACAGAGATACCTCAAGTGGATGTTCCAAGTCACAGACCCGTGTTTGGCATTCCTTTGTCTGATGCAGTAGACAGGACCATGATGTACGACGGCATCCGCCTGCCAGCAGTGTTCCGTGAATGTATCGACTACGTGGAGAAGTATGGCATGAAATGTGAAGGCATCTACAGAGTTTCAGGTACTCTGGGCACACTGACATGCAGGTTCCTAAGGGCTTTGCTTTTAATTTTCTTAATGTTTTACCATTTCCATCACCTAGAGATTCTATTTTATAGCTGCATTAATTATCCAACAGGTAATCAGGCAGCCAAAGTTAAGCAAACCCATAGGTCTGAAGTACCAGAGCAGTTGCTACTGTAGTAGTACTACTTAATGGCAGTAAAACCACAGCTGGTTTGGCCTTAAAACCAAATAAAATGTGCTGGTGTAGCCCGCTCGTATTCTTTCTTCTGCATTAGAAATGCAGTGGTAGCTGATTGCAAGAGCAAAGATGAGATATAACCCTTTTGTTACTGAAGCTTCCCACTGAGTTGCTTTTTCCACTTACTTCCCTTGTGTGCTTTTTCTTAAGACCTTTTCTTTGCGCAAACGTACTAATAAGCAGAAAATACAAGTTTCACTGTTTAAGCTTAGCAGCAGCAGTTAATTAGCCATGGGAGTTGTGTAACACCAGCTTGCATAAATGAGACCTCAGTTTCAGTCAGGTGAAGCAAAACAGGCCCTTTATTTGTGAGCTGCCTCAGCAATGTAACTCGTGTAAGTACTTCTGTGGGTACATTTAAGGGAACAAGTGAGAGAAGGAATCTGAGGAAAAGCATTTGAAACGAGTTGCTTAGTGCTGTAAAACAGTAATCAAACGATTTTAAAGGCTTCATTAAGCTGTCTTCATGCTGTCCATCTGCGTGGCATTTGGTAGGCATGCATAAACACTGCAGCAGCTTCAGCAGTCGCTTGGTCCTGCCTAGTGAAACATTTTGGTTGTGTCTTTTCAAGACACAGTGCCTTGGGAATTTTCACAGGAGAAGGTGTGTTTTCTGTAAATCGTTTCTGCTGTGTGTAGTTTGTAGGTGTTCTCCGGTGCCACAGCACCCTCTTGTGTGTGTAGGGCTGTTTAAACTCAGAGCTCAGAGAGCACTGCAGTGGCTGAGCACCCTGCCAGCTGCTGTGGTGGCTCACGTGTTTGGGCATGAAACTGAGCACGTTGCACCTGGCATTTACCACGGACTGAGAGCACCCAGTTGTGCTGTTGTGTATGAGCCAAGCCAAGTGCACTAAATGGGGTAACTCAAGTGAGTGTTTGAGCTCTAAGAATGAAATTTCCCCAAGTTTAGGAAGACTGGAATGTCACTGAGTTATAAAAACACCTTACAGAAAAGCTTGGTTGGGTCAAATAATTATGTGAACACACTTTTATTCAGGCAGTGCCTCAAATCCAGAATCCTGTGTGATATTCCTCTGCTGAGGAGGGCCAGCTGGAAGTCTGGAAACTAAACAGTGTGGGTTTTGTTTTGACAGAGGAAAGCTGTTATAGGTAGAAGTTGTTGCACAATATTTGAGTTGATAACATATTTGCTACTTGGCTTAGGGATGTAGAACTGAACAGCCAGAAAGATGCTGATTGCAAATACACAATGGATCTTATGTTCCCTTACCCTTCCTCACCCTATTTTGTGTCCCCTGATGAAGGGGAATGCTGGCACCAGTTCTGATTCAGAGCTATGTCAGTGCTGTGTGTTTGCTCTTAGTAGTAGTCAGTGCTTTTAGAAGCAGTGATCACATAGTTCTGAGTCATGGTTTTCACTTTCTTACATGTAGACAACTTTAAAAAGGTGTTCCCCAATTAGCTTATACTGTAAGGAGAGGTGAAATAAATGCATCTGGGAAAAAAAAGTTTAACTATTACACACAGTCGAAATTCTCTTTTAATTCTCGATCTAAATATTTTAAGGAATAAAGTCGAAGGTTGATGAGCTAAAAGCAGCCTATGATCGAGAGGAATCTCCTAACCTGGAGGAATATGAGCCCAACACAGTTGCCAGTTTGCTGAAGCAGTACCTGCGAGAGCTGCCTGAAAACTTGCTTACCAAAGAGCTGATGCCTCGCTTTGAGGATGCTTGTGGGAAGAGCACAGAAGCTGAGAAAGTCCAGGAGCTGCTGAAAGAGTTGCCAGAGTGTAACCATCTCCTAATTTCTTGGCTGATTGTGCACATGGACCATGTTATTGCAAAGGAACTGGAGACAAAAATGAACATCCAGAATATTTCCATAGTGCTCAGCCCTACTGTCCAGGTATGTGCACCACACAGCAAGTGCTAGAGCAGAACTGCAGCCCAAGAAAGGCTTCCTTGTAGGAATTCTTTTGCAGGTGGGACTTGGGTATTGTCTGATACAGTTAAGCTAAATTACAGCTTCTATCTGTACCTCAAGAACCCAAAATGCTGGGAAAGGGGGAACAAAAGACTTTCTGCATGTGAGTTTGCACCATGGGACTGACACTTGGGTTGTTATGAGATTATTACAAAGACTGTTGTCTGTGTTTTAATTCTGTTGAGAACAGAGGTCATTTAATGCTGACTTTGTGCAACAATTCATGCAGATACACAGTTCCAGTGGGTTTTTGACTCAGTGATAATCTAGTGAAGACTCAATTGTTGCTGAATTTTAGTATCAAGCCAATGAACCCTGTCCTGCACATAGGTCTTCCCGGTGCAGTAAGGACTTGGATAATATGGCTTTGGTGTCTGCAGTCAAATGCTTGGGGAAAAACATCTGTCTTAGTTTTCCAGTAAGATTTTATGGTTTCTGGATTGACTGATGCCTTAATAAACATCTTGGAGATGTTTAATTTAAATGCAGCTCAGAACTCATCCTGCTCATGATGAAAACATGGCATTGCTGGGTGTGGGTTTTCCAGAGCAAACCCCACACTTGGAAGAAGCTTGGCTTTGTAATTAAGAGTCCAGGTGGAGGCCCAGTACCAAAGGGGTTGGGTGTTACTCTTGGCTTTTGACTGTGCCAGACACCTTCCTACTAAATGCTGCTGCTTCTGGGGAAAGACACTGTTCTTGACAGACAAAGATGAGGTGAATAAATCATCTTCATCGGTACCCTGTCTGTCCTTTCTTTGCAGATCAGCAACCGTGTCCTGTATGTGTTTTTCACACACGTTCAAGAGTTCTTTGGGAATGTGACCCTAAAGCAGGTGACAAAACCTCTTCGCTGGTCAAATATGGCAACGATGCCAGCACTTCCAGAAACACAGGAGAGCATCAAGGAAGAAATCAGGCGACAGGTTGGCAATTGCTTCAGTGTTTTTCTGTTTGTCTTCACCCTGACTTTTGTACGCTCCTAAGTTTGTAACACACTCTTTAATTCCGTCACAGTTGTCCAGTCAGTGGAACTCACTGGACAGAGATTAGTGATACTCTTGCTCATTTCATGTCTGGAAAGTTGTTACAGTCTCGTGATGATTAGAGCCGTGACTTTTGTGGAGTGCTTTGCTGTGTAGTTCAGTTCTCTTATCATGGGAGGAAGGTCAGGAGAGCCATGTTAGAGTGTGGGTTCTTTAATATTGCTCTTCATCTGGCTCTGGATCACGTGCTGGGTGTATGTTAACTCTTACTTGTTGACATGTCAAGGTTTGAAAACCAGAATCCAAGCGCGTTGCCACAAAGCCAAAAGGATTCTTCTTTTCAGCCTGCCCTGCTATAATGTATTAAAGATGCTACTTTCTTTGGCAATATTTCTAGGAGTTCCTACTGAACTGTTTACACAGAGACTTGCAGGCAGGGATAAAAGACTTATCCAAAGAAGAGAGACTCTGGGAGGTGCAAAGAATCTTAACAGCTCTTAAGAGGAAATTAAGAGAAGCTAAGAGACAGGTGGGTAACTTTTCTATTCACTGGCCAGACATGTAAATCCTGGATCCCTAGATTTGTGACAGTGCAGAGGCACTCAGTTAGATCCAGCCATATTTCAGCAGATGGTCTTACCTTAACTTTACATGCCTGATGAGCAATTGCATTTTCTGCTTAGTTGGCTCTCTCTAGGGACAGCAATATCTCCACAGCTGTTCACAAAAAAAATGTATGTGATCAAAAACTTAGTGTTTGACAGGGCATGTATTTGTTGTATGCTTAAAACATCATGTCCTGGACCACCAGAGGAATTACTAGAAAACTTGAAGTTAACAGACTTGAGAAGCATTTTGCAAACTGCTCTATGTCCCAGAGAAGGGACAGACCTTGTTGAAAACGTTCAAGACAGCTGAGGTGGTGATCCTGAATTTGGAAAATCATACATTCAAAAAAGTCTTTTTAGAGTAAATAGGGTGACCAGGGAAGGTGTAAATGTTGTTCTCTTTACCTGGCAGGAGTGTGAAACAAAGATTGCACAAGAAATCGCTAGCCTTTCCAAGGAGGATGTCTCCAAAGAAGAAATGAATGAGAACGAAGAAGTTATAAATATTCTTCTTGCACAGGTAGCTGGCAGGGACTTTCCTGTTTGCCTGGTGCTATTTTATATTTCAGCTGTGTTAAACCCTCTTTTGTACCTTCTAGTGTAGTGGGGCACGCAAGGCTTAAAGGGGTGTCTGTGTCCACTGAAACACAAGGTTTGCTTCAATGGTAAATAAGGCAGGGAAGGAATGCTGACTGCAGGAGTGAACCCAGGGCTGGGTAGACTCCCGTTAACAGCAGGAAGGAAACACTGCAACAGGTTAAAAAAAAAAAAAAAGATAGCCTTTGTTGTTAATGTACTTATAGAAAACACTTCCAAATGTAGCCAGTTTTAATACTATTTACTGCT